CTGTTGTGGTGCTGTGACATGTGGTTTAGCTTCTCCCAGCATCCATCCTTCCATCCATCCATCTCCATACATAATGTTATCTGTATGCTGCCTTTCCACAATTCAAATCATGCTCAGGGCAGTTTACAACATTAAAAAAATATGACTGCAGCATAGCAAAAGTAGTAATAAATTATAAATAGAATAATAAAAAAATGCACAACCAAACTTTATGTGGATAAATTTCCACATAAATCACAACAAGATCTAAAATAAATATAGTGGGGCCTTGGTTGTTGAATGCATTAGTAGTCGAACACATTGGCTCCTGAACGTCGCAAACCCAGAAGTGAGTGCTCCGGTTTGTGAACGTTTTTTGGAAGCCGAACATTCAATATAGCTTCCGTGGCTTCCAATTGAGTGCAGGAAGCTCCTGCAGCCAATCAGAAGCCGTGCCTTGGTTTTCGAACTGTTCCAGAAGTCAAACGGACTCCTGGAATGGATTAAATTCAAGAACCAAGATACCACTGTATACAAATAACCAGGAGGAGCAACCCTGTCCCAGCAAAACACCCCGAACATCCCAATTCAAGAGTCTGTTCAGCAGCCTCAGCTTCCGTAGCTGTTGCATGTTCAGACCCAGAGACCTCCCCCCTAAATAAACACACATTTGACTTAAATTTTAGTTTTGGTTTTTAGCAGAATTTAGGCCACAACTTTATTGATTATAGAAAGTGAGTAGTTGCATAGGCTCTGGTTCGACTAGCTCCCTGCACCCTTGCAGGTAGCGCTGACCCAGGGCACCAGCATAGGTCAGCCAAGTGTGAACACCTGAGGTAGGCGGAAAGCCCAGGAACAGACTCTGTTCACTGCCCAGATGCTCCCCTGGACTCAGGCATGGGCACAACCCCCTCTTGGGGGTTGACCAAACCAAGTTGAATCCCTGGATTCCTTTAATGGAATACCCTTCACATAGCGATGGCGAGACCGTTCTCCCATCCCTATCACATGAACCCATGCCTATCTGCAACCTTACAAGTTGTGACGATTTGCTACGCGGCAGGCAAAACCCAAATAGCAACAGCCAATCAGCCAAGTGGGAAAAATTCCTGCCGTGCCCCTGTCCCAACGACAGACGACACATGTCGGCATAGCAAGTTCAATCGCAAAATGGCCTAAATATAGGGAGAGGTGGGAGGGTGTTCCGATGCATGAGCCGAAAGAAGAAGCTCTGGGTCATGTGCATGGGTATATATAGGTCCCTCGATCCATTTAAACAGTTCTCCATTGGCCAGATTAAACCCAGCAACAAGGGACCTACCATTCGGGTGTTGTGGCTCTCCAATATACCCACCCCCAACCAGGAGGTCAGTCTCCAGGTCTCACCGCAACACGTACCCTCTTTTAGGAAGGACATGCTTAATCAGTCAAGGCCCCACTCTCCCAGGTCATGTGGAAAAGGCCTGCATAACAGGTAGCAGGTATTCCAGGATTCACAGCCAAAATGGCCTCTGCCCTCTTCAGCAGCCTCAGCTGGAGTGCAATGGCAATGGCTATTATGGCTTTTTCAATGGCAAAGCTGAAGATCAGATGTTTTAACTGACCTCTCTACCCTCCTTCAGAGGGTTAACGCGGGTGGCGCTGTGGGTTAAACCACAGAGCCTAGGACTTGCCGATCAGAAGGTCGGCGGTTCGAATCCCCATGACGGGGTGAGCTCCCGTTGCTCGGTCCCTGCTCCTGCCAACCTAGCAGTTCGAAAGCACCTCAAAGTGCAAGTAAATAAATAGGTACCGCTCCGGCGGGAAGGTAAACGGCGTTTCCGTGCGCTGCTCTGGTTCGCCAGAAATGGCTTAGTCATGCTGACCACGTGACCCGGAAGCTGTACGCCGGTTCCCTCGGCCAGTAAAGCGAGATGAGCACCGCAACCCCAGAGTCGGTCACGACTGGACCTAATGGTCAGGGGTCCCCTTTACCTTTACCTTTTACCCTCCTTCAGAGGGTTAACTCTGGCTCTGATGACAGTCTTAGGCCTTGTATAATAATTTATAAGCACTAGTAGACATACTATCCAAACTTGAGGGTTAAAGCTATTTTAGCATGTGGATCAGAAGCTACAGGGAAAAAAAAATTCTTCCTGTCTGACTTATTTTTAGCCAGAACATTAATGGGCCAGAGGATATATCCAGAAGAACGTGTGAGGCAGGATGTGTTTTAGCATTTTCAGAGTGAGCCTCAAATCAAACGCATGCCTTCATAATTTGATTCAGAGGAAATGGAGAATTAAGCATTGTAGATAGAGTGCTTTTAAACACAGCATAATTAATTGCACGTGCAAATGCACTCACTAAATGTGCTTGCTCTGTTATGGAAATAATGGTCACTTTGGACTGACTGAATATGCCAGTCAAAAGGCACACATCTCTGTTTTATCTCCACTCCAGTTTATTTTCCAGGTATCTATATCCTCCCTACTCTAACTACTTTATTGGTAACCATAATACTTCAGTGCTCTGTGACAAGTCAACACCACTAGCACAAAGCAGAAATGGAATTTGCATAGCTGGCTAAAGCAGATTTCAGTTTGACTCAATTTGTGGCTTTTTCTGCATGTGGTCATAGTGCTGGTGTTAATAACTGTGGTTTCTCTTGGTAGAGGAAGTGGTATTCCATAGCCCAGTAGGTTGCCAGCTAGCCATGAAACAAGTCTGCAGGTGCTTGGGCAGGTGGTGGCAGGGAGATCCCATTCCACCCCTCCCATTTTATCACCTGATGCTAGCAGCCCAGTGTGTCTCATGATAGGGCTAGGTCTACTAACCATTAAATGTGAGCATTAACAATGTATGACAAATAGGCCCCTGGAATAAGCTCAATACCGCGAATGACATAGTAGGAAATGGGAAACTGGCAATTAGATAATGTGATACACTCCAAAATATAAACCATAGATAGAAAATATGATTGCAATGTATCACTAAAAGAAAAAAGGACCTAAGAGTTCAATAAAATACTAATTTATATATATAGCTGAAAAATATTTATTATTTAATAGAAATTGAAATGCAGTGGTTACCGTAATGGGAAAGGCTATATGACCAAGGTACTTGCCTGTTCAGCCTGCTGCTTAGGTCCTAACTCTGCATGGGCAACTTCAAGGACCATACAATTGCTTTTTAATAATTCTTTATCTTTAAACCAGAGTTGAGCCAGGCAGCCCTTCAAACACGATTCTGCTTTCTGGCAACCATTCAAATGGAGGACTGTCCTCTGTATATTAGGTCACAATGCTACCCTGATAAAATAGGTTGATTTCACTTCATTTTCTTTAGTAAGGACTCTAGATAGTGTTCTCTAATATCAGAATAAAGCTGACAATCAAGAATATAGTGAGGTCAAGATCTCTGTGTGGGTTCCTTTCACCAAATTTAGTGGGGTTATTGTCAATGATTCAGTTAAATATCAGTATAATTCTGGTGATGAAAAGCAAACTAACAGCAGCTTAGAAGAATACTGCTTTTTAGGAGGCTCTAGGAGATTGACATATACTGACTAATGCTTTGGATAATTCTTTTCTCAGCAAGATAAATTAGAACAATTACATTTAGGTCTGCAAGCCATCTTTAGAGCTATATATAATTTGATAGAACTTGAAATATTGAGTTATAGTCAACTAAATTTACTCACAGTAGACCTATTGAGATTAATGGACCTAAGGTAGGCATGTCCTTTAAGTTTAATGGGTCTATTTTGAGTATGACTCATTTTGCCAGTCCCCTGACTCCCCCTCCATTTTGTGGCTACCAGAGATTATCTCAGATTCCCAGACTAATGGGTATGTTTTCAGTAGTTCCTCAGCTCAGGAGGATGAGACCTTTTGTCTCACAGACAATCCCTGCTGCCACCGCCCCTCATTCCCCATTAAGCTGGGACCATGGCTCTGGGTATCTTAATACTAAAGTAACTAGGAAGTTGGATGATACTATTTCATAGTCAATGCTACGGAGACTCCATGCTGACTTTAGATGAATATAAAGAATGTCCCTATGGTGAATCCATCTTGTCATCATTAGGAGGAATGACAGCTGAGCATGATGAACAACCTTTTTTTATAAGAAGGTATCAAATAAAGCCAAAGCAATCCAGACATCTCCAATACCTGAGGCAATAGATGATCTGTGCTTGGAAGGATGCCCACAGGAAGAAATAGCCTCACTAATTATTCACAATTGGTGTGTGAGGAAAATTAATGGCTCCTTTATGGGAAAAGAAGCCTTATTTCAGGAATTGCAGCATTTATGGGGAATTCCCCTCAGCGAGGAGATTTATAATGCTCATTTTTCAAATGACCCCTTTTGATTAATGACATTGTGTATCATCTGAGTCATAAAAATTATTCCCTAATACAATCAATAGTAGACAAACTCACCTTTTACTATGCAAAGATTACATGGCTCACCTTTTACTATGCAAAGATTACATGGCTCACTTTCACCTAAACTATCTCTGGTCTTTGCCTCACACCTACCTCATCAACTGAGCTTCCCAACTCCCATTATTTCCCCCCAAAGACAGCTCATTTGTCCCTGCCTCCATTGGCAGTGAGCTCCTTCCTTTTCACTGACTAGTCCCTCTAGCCAATCAGAGACTGTTGTTTCCCAGACTAATCAAAATGCTAGTCCCCAAAAAAATGTCTGATCCAGGCCCCATCTATAAATATTAACGGCAGTTGTCTTTCTTTCCCTTTTCAGAACCTGTAACCAAGCAACTACTTCTAAGTAGGCTTGCAACAGCACAAGGCTTCAAACTTTGACAGTTACAGTCTGGCATGAAACTAATGAAGCTCCAGTTTCAGGATTCCTAATCCTAGAAGGGCCCCAGAAGCGACTTAAGTCCAACTTGCTTTTTTAAAAAAATGTTTTAAAAGTTCCCTAATTTCCCCTAATTTTCATACCCCTCTCCATAGAATCCTAGAATAGTTGGAAGGGACAACAATGATTTAGTCCAACTTCCTGCCGTGCAGGAATATTTCCCCCTATGTGGGGCTTGAACCCATGACCTTGAGATTAAGAGCCTCATGCTTTACCAACTGAGCTATAACTCAAAAACTATAAGGCTTAGGAAATTTTTATTCACATCAGTGACATTGATATGTGAGATAATCCAGTACAGCAATTTTAATCAAAGTAGTAGCTTTTTTAAAAATGAGATCTGCCGTGGAACAAACCCATTGAAGAAGATAACATTGTTGATTTGTGAAAGGTCCCCCATATTAGTTCAAACTTCAGGGCTGTCAAAATGTAGGCCCACCACTGCTGACATCAACAGAGGTCACAGAAATCTTTCCCAAAACACAAACAAACATTTGTATACACAGCATTTCCTTGGTTGGCAGCATAGAATTTGTTTATTATTATTATTTTTGCAAATAAATAAATAAAATAAAATAAATAAACCACTCAGAGAATTATGAAGACATTTTAAGATATGATTTTGCCTTGCCTAGCATTTTCTTATTATCATAGTATATTTATACTTCATGAATCAAATGTTTTGTCAAGGAGGCATCTAAGTCTGAGTAATTTGCTGTAAGTTCCTTCCGATCCAACTTCGAGTCAGTTAGATGACAAAATATCCTGGAATTCAAGAATTGTGCTTGGCAAGCTTGTCCGGCACTGACAAATCACAAGCTTGTTCTTCCTTGCTTTTGCAAGCACTTTATTTCCTCCCATCTATTTACTATACCCACTGTCACTCTGATGAAATCACTGCAAGTAGTCTTTTGAGTTAGTCAGTTGATAAATCACACAGCCTATTTGGTATGCAGAATGGCTCAATAGCTTTAGAGTGACTGAGTGGCTTACTGGTGGGGGAGAGAGAAGAGTGTGGTTGAAATAAAGAGTAATTAACTTCTAAAATATTAGCAAGATCAAAATTAATGGCTGTGGCACAGTCAGTGGCTATAATTTGACATTATTTGTAATTATAAATAATGTAAAATGGTGCTAACAATGATGTACTTCATACTGGCTAATTGACATTTACAATTATGGCAAGCCACTTTTAGGGAAATTAGTACAATAATTGAATTTTGCCACCTTCGTTTGTGGCAATAGATACTGAAGCCCTTGAGCAGCCTGGACCTATGGTGGATCAATATGGTTGACGCTGCATTTCTGCTTCCACTTGTACTTCAGTATGTATCATGTTGTTGGTGAGAGCAGCAGATGCAGGTAAGGAGAGAAGCCGAGTCCAGGGTCCAAAGAACTATGAGTCCAAGAGGTTTCTAAACTCCCTGCATTCAAGAAGCAGGCCTCCTACACATTTAATATAGTGGTACCTCGGGTTACATATGCTTCAGGTTACATACGCTTCAGGTTACAGACTCCGCTAACCCAGAAATATTACCTCGGGTTAAGAACTTTGCTTCAGGATGAGAACAGAAATCGTGCTCCGGCGGCGTGGCAGCAGCAGGAGGCCCCATTAGCTAAAGTGGTGCTTCAGGTTAAGAACAGTTTCAGGTTAAGAACGGACCTCCGGAACGAATTAAGTACTTAACCTGAGGTACCACTGTAGTCAAGTGCTTTGAAATAAGGAAGAACTCCAAGACTGAACTTTGAGAAGAGTACGGATATTAGCTGTTTAAAGAAAAATTTTCATGATTAGAGCAACCTCCTTAATAATTAGCTCTTTAGACCAATTAAAATGTAATTCTGATTGGAAATATCCTATAGTGACCCTTATTCCTTATACCTAGTCACATGAAAGGACTCTGCTGGACATTTTGTTCAGTAGGTCCAGGAAGCGTCTCTGAGTTTGGTGGTCTATGTCAATATACAGTGGTACCTTGGGTTAAGAACTTAATTCGTTCTGGAGGTCCGTTCTTAACTTGAAACTCTTCTTAACCTGAGGTACCACTTTAGCTAATGGGGTCTGCCGCTGCTGCCGCGCGATTTCTGTTCTCATCCTGAAGCAAAGTTCTTAACCCGAGGTACTGTTTCTGGGTTAGTGGAGTCTGTAACCTGAAGTGTCTGTAACCCGAGGTACCACTGTATTCAGGAACCACACAAACATTTGGATTCCAAAGCACATACTTTCTCTAAGGTGTGCCCAGTGGACTCGTTCAGAGACTAAGGGTGTGTTCACATTACCACCTTAGAGCACAGAGAAGTTAATGTTTTTCTGGTGTGTTCCACAGCTCCTAGCTGTTCACATCAGCACATGCTTCATTATTCTGAGATTCATGTCTTTTTGTGTTGATGAGGCAGAGATGTCTTTACCCCATGCAAAGGTGTTCACACCTTGGCTAGAAATGAATTATGAACGGCTTAAGGAATCCAATTGGTTTGAGAAACAGTGCATCACACAGTTATATTTTATTGTTTATTTCTATATTTTATTGTTTATTTCTATATTTTATAACAAAGTATATATTGTATTTACTCGAATCTAATGCTCACTTGTTTGGGCCAAATTCTGTGCAAAAATTAAGGTGCGCATTAGAGTCGATGGCACATTAGACTTGAGTAAATACGGTATATGCTTTTAAAACCCAGCACTGGAAATGCAGTGAGTACACAGCAAATATGAGTGTGAAGACAGCCTAAGAGACTATAGAGTCTTAACAATATGCAATTTGGTGCTTTTGAAAAGTTGATTGTGATTGGCGGTTATTGTTCAGGTGAACAATAAATAAATAAATAATTTCTATTCATGTTTCATTTCCATAACTATTGCATAACCTCTCGTCAAAATAGCACATTTTCATATGAAAATTTAATAATAATAAAAAATCAACTCAGCTCCAGTTCTGAGATAACCTAGGCCTGGTTAAATGGCTGTTATATTTTTATACTGGAAGAGACATATTCAGAATAGATTAAGCAATAGCTTGCTCTTTAAAAAGACAGAAAATGGCATTACATTCCTAAATCCTCATTTTTTTCAAAGGACTAGATTAATTCATACATCAAAGCCTACAGTTTAAACTGCTTTTGTGTTTCACAGTGTGATGTATATTAGACAAAAAGAGACTAGAGCTTGTTATGTTAATGAAAATAGTGTTTGGTCTGAAATTCATCGCCAAGTGCCTAATGATATGTTCTATTGTGGCACATCTTGTGGCTTATAAGCATTCTTTTCAGAAGAGATTTCCCTCACCATAAATCCATGTGCATATAATTTTGAGGAGAAATAAACAAGCAGTGAACTTTAGGTTGAAAATTGATAATGGTAGACATATTCTGGCTTATCCCTGAGACAGGCGCAGAATAAATCAGATGCCACAGTAGGAAAATGCATCCTGATTCATGATTGTATACTATGTGTATTTGTTTCTGATGTCTAGATAGTTATTTAAACTGTAAAGGTAGTATTGGGGGAATAAGAGAACGATAAGCTTTCCAAGCTAGAAGTCACTGTTTTATCCCTTGAATATGAAAAAGGATAAAATCTCACAAGCTGCATAAAGATCATATTCCTCCTTTTAACATAAACACATCTATATTTACTTTCCTTCCCCTGTACTTTGAAATTCAGTGGGAGGGAAGTGAAAAATAGAATATTCTTGTACAAAGCACCTGCCCATATAATTTGAAACATTTTCAAGAAAAATGCTCCTGGAACTTGTTCATTTCTTTACTTTTTGATGTCTATTCTCCTAAAACTAACAGAGCACAAAACCCTAGGACAGTCTTCGTCAACCTGCTACCATCTAGATGTTTGGGACTACCAGTGCTATTTTTCTAGAAAAAGAGGCGCCACAACTCACCAGGAACACACCTCTTGTTCTCTTAGAATGGCAATGGTGCCTACTTGAGAGATGTCGGGACCCACCTGAGAGGTGTTGGAACTCAGTTCCGGTGACTTCCAGCTGAAAAAAAGCCCTGGGGACTACAATTCTCATCCGCAAAGGCCAGCGCATGTTTTACTATGTCATCTGTGGCCTAATTCTGGCCTGCCTCAGTTGTGGACTACCAAGCCAGATACTAGCTTTGTATTGTAGCCTACCTCCTGCTTGCCTAATCTCTTATGTTTGCATTCCTGTGTGGGCAGCTGCAGGAAACAGTGTAGTGAAACCCTCATGACCCGCCATACATGGCTGGCGGCATTTGAGCCTGGGCTCAGTTTTGTGAGCCACAAGCTGTGCAGCTCTTGTTGCAGTTATTCATATGATGCATTTGGAAACACCTGCCCGTGCATTTCACAATTACATGCCTACAGCTTTCAGGATTTGACTTCCTTTGGAAGTCTGATTCATCAAAGCAGGACCTGCAGTTAAGCTGTGCAATTGACCTTATTTGTATTCTTCTGTTGGGATTTCTGAGTTGATTTTACATTTTGCACAGGTAAAGGTTACTGGAGAGCTTTTAAAAAACTTTTTGAGAAGTCTAAGGAGTAAATGGAAGGTGAAACTTGAGATACTAATAATTAAATATATGTTTCTGTTTCAACGGAAAACATATCTGTGTGGTTGTATATGGAGCTTGAATGCAGTCCCCAACAGTTTTCCATGGGAATAATGCAGCCCTCAACTTATCCAAGTGATTGGGAGAAATCACAGGAACATCAGGAAGATAACCTAACAATGGACTTCCTATGTAATAGGTGTACCAAATATACACCAAAAAGACTCAAAAAGAAGCATTTTCAAATGGTTGCTCTATTTTGCGGAGCAAAATTTTGGTCCAGGAACAATAAGCAGAATATTGAGGGCCAGGATCTGTCAGCTCTCACAAATATATAGCTACTAGTATGAACAAATTATTACACAATTATTGGAGTGACAGCAATGGTTTCTATCTCAAACTCTTCCCCATTATCTCCACAGTTTCATTTGCATGTACTCTATATACAGTACAAAGACCCAGAGGCGGAGCTAGCTATTCCGGCTTCCGGAGTGGCACACATGCTGTACACCCGGGGGCAGGGCTCAGGGGTGGGCAAGCATGTCCCCCTCCAGTATGACACCTGGGACAGACCACACCCACCGGACCCTCTTTCTCTGCTAGTGCAAAGACCTACATTAGGGCAAGTTGTTTTAAACTGTTTAGTGTTGTGTTTTAATGTTGACACCCTGGGACCTTAAGATGAAGAGCAGGT